GCGGGGGGACTCCCGCGGCCGCGCCCCTCCCGCCCTTTGCAGGAAGCGCTCCCGAGGCTGCTCTTTTACTTTCCTTTCTCCCCGGTCCGGCCTGTGCCACCTTCGCCGCGTCGGTCCACACCGCGGTGTTAGCCTGTCAGGTGCCAGACCTCTTTGCTCCACAGCGCTGAGCGATACTGAATTAGACCCTTTCCTGAGTCCGAAGGGGCCAGGACTGTACCCTCAGAACAGGTAAGAGCACTGCTGCCCTGTGAGGGGCTAACATGGCATCCCACAGCGTGCCCTAGCCTTTGCCAGGTAGTGAGCAGGCACTGGTCTTGCCTTGGCAGTTTGGCATTCACTTTGCTTTGGGTTTGCCTGGGCAGCCGCTCCTTCACTTGCTGTAGTGCTGTACGGCACCACCAGCCATGATGCCCAAGAGGCAAGTGCCAGGCCACAGCACTACCCCTCTAGTCTAGGAAGCGTGCTAGCCTTGTGCAGACCCTCCTGCCAGATAAGCTCCCCTGTGCACCCTCTGCCTTCAACCTCACTGTCTGCAGCACTGCTCTGCACCTGCAGGGACCCAAGAAGACCCCGCCTGCCTTAGGTGGTGGTAGAGTGAAGCTAGGCTGGGCAGAAGCGGCCCACTTCCATGAGGTGTGTGGCTCTCATGAGAAGCGTGTGGAGCTTGGCTGGCTGTGAAGACCGGGGCTCTGGCCCCCAAGTTTGCTCCCTGCCTTTTGTACATGGTGCATAGCATGAAAGGATCCTTTTGCAGATGCAGCGCAGCCTCCTCCTAGGCCCAGGAGCCAAGTGCCCCTTAGGCACACTGTCAGATGGGGACACGGAAGCATAGGGAAGGAAGGAAGGGTGCACAACCAGAAGCAGAATCCAGATGTTCTGGCTTTTAGTGTATATCTCCCCATATCCTGGCATTCACCCCCCTGACTGCCTCAAAGCAGTTCTCCTGCAGGGTTTGACCCAGACCTGGTTTCCACACTGTCTGTGTCCCTGTTTGGCAGGAGCAGCATGCAGGCCCGGAAGAGCCCAGCTGAGATTGATGAGAGCCTCTACTCAAGGCAGCTGTGAGTGCCAGTGCTGAGCGTTGGGGGAAAAATAGAAGGGAGCATGTCAGCCAACGTGGCTAGAGCTGAGCATGAAGGGTGTTAACAAAGGAGGAAGAGGGGCATGAATGATGCATGCCCACCCCACCCCCAGTGGCTGGGGGGGCGTGGCGGGAGCAAGGTAGCGGCGATGGTAAGTGGTGGGGAGGGATGGCAAGCGCAAGGGTCAACGACCGCCCTCAGACACTGTCAGCAGCTGGGGTGTTGGGGTGGTGAGCGGCAGTTGGCAACACCTTTTTCTAGGGGGTGATCCTCTGCTTCTTCTCTGTCATATGGCAGCAGGAGGTATAGCCTGCTGGCCCCAGTAGCTGCCTGTTAAGCATTTGTGGACTGCAAGTATTGGACAGCCCTGTGCTAAGGCACCAAACCCTGGCAGGAAGAGGAGTGGGGGCTCTTGAGCACTGTGTTCAGAGCAGCAGGAAGGGTGAGGGTTTCTGGGGCACAGGCCAGGGCAGGAGGAGGGTGATGGTCTCTGGGGCTGTGGCAGGAGGGGTTAGGCAATCCAGTGTTTGGGGGCTGTGGCAGAGGCAGGAACCAAGGGCTGCAGTGCCATGAGAAGGAGACCTGTTCACTGTGTGCACTGTTCTCCCCAGCATACCTGCCCTGTGCTCACCCTGCAGGTATGTGCTGGGCCACGAGGCCATGCGTAGGTTGGCCAACACCTCTGTGCTGGTGTCAGGAATGAAGGGGCTGGGTGTGGAGATTGCCAAGAACGTTATCCTGGCTGGCGTTAAATCTGTCACTGTGCACGACCCAGATGATGCCCAGTGGAGCGACCTCTCATCACAGGTAAGCTGATTGCATTGGCTGCCCTCTGCACTGTTCCAAAATCACCCCTTTTTGGAAGGTATGACCCATCCTGGCTTGTGCTGGTCTGGATTTGGACCTGGTATCTGGCCCAGGGCCGCTATATAGGACCCAGGCTCTCTACCATATACTAGCATGGCAGCGGCCAAACAATTAACTCTGGGAGGGACACAGGGCAGGGGTATGGATTAGACTTTGAACAGAAACTGTCCCTCTGCTAAGGGGCATGTTTCCAGGGTGGTGCTGCCCACGAAGTCAGCCTACCAGCTGATGCTAGATCCTGGGTAGGAGCTTTGCCAGGGTACTCCCAGGATGCCCCAAACTTCCCTTGAGAGGGTGGGCACTGGGATATCATGGACATGGAGCATGCCAGAAAGGAAGCATGTGTCCCCAAACCAGGCATGGCAGACCAACCATGGCCCTGTGGCTGTGGAGCCACCACAGCCTCCACCCACAGCCTTATGGATTAAATTCAGCTCTGCTGGACCAGTGGAGCTGCAACTGGCACTGTGTCAGCTGCTGTGTGCCTCCCTACTCACTATGCAGTGGTGGCTGTGTTTAGTTCTTCTTGTCAGAGAATGATGTGGGTCACAACCGAGCCATAGCTTCCCAGAAGTGCCTTGCAGAGCTCAACAGCTACGTGGTTGTGACAGCCTATACTGGGGCCCTGTCTGAGAGCTTTCTGGAGACTTTCCAGGTAAGGAGAGGCTGAGAGAGCCATTGGTAGGGTGGGCACCACGTCTTCAGTGGGGAGAGAGCTGGTGCCAGGATGCCAGGGGATGGAGAGCAGCAGGTTTGAGTCAACTTTCAGAGATGGCCAATGTAAGCCATGAGCCAGCTTACTGCCTCCAATGAGAGCCATGGCGCTAGGGGGAGGTTCCAACTTGTCCTAGGTTCTGGAATAAATTAAGCTCTAGCTGTCGTTTCCTTTTCCTGCAAAGCAGTTTTGGGATTACTTCTCATGTCAAAGAACAGCAAACAGTATTTGCATGTGATCTACCTCAAATCAACCCCGTGCACTCCGCGACTGCCCTGCAGCAGCAGTATCCAGCAGGACTGTTGACTAGTGCCTGCAAAAGGCAGCAGTGTCCCTGGGTGACAGGTGTCACAGCCAGCTGAGCATCCATGGGAGCAGTTGTGCAGGGATAGGCAGGGCATTCCCTGGGAGCAAGTCCTTGCACGAAGTAGACACTGAGCAGCTAGTGGCATGGGGGAGCTCACCGCACTGAATCCTGGTGAGCACAGCTGACACTACAGCACTGATTGCACTGGGTACTAATGCTTGCTTCTGGTCTAGGTTGTGGTACTGACCAACTCCTCCCTGGAGGAGCAGCTCTGTATTAGTGACTTCTGCCATGCCAGGAACATCTGCTTCATTGTTGCTGACACAAAGGGGCTGGCTGGGTAAGTGTACAACAGCCAGGAATCACCAGGGACCGCAGTACAAGCATCACAACTGCTGCCCAGCAGAGGGCATTGAGGGAGTGGGTTAGGGTACTGGCTGTGGAGGAGCTCCTGACGTCTCCAGCATCTTTGGTGTGGAGTGGCAGGGCAGGGCATTGTAACCTCATTCCTCTCCCCTGGTTCTAGGCAGCTCTTCTGTGACTTTGGGAAACATTTTGTTGTCTATGACCCCACGGAGGTTGAGCCCGTTTGTGCCTACATCCAGCACATCTCACAGGTATGTCAGAGCTAGACCAGTGCTCCCTACCAACTCTGAGACCGCTGCCAGAGAGTCACCAGCAGGGCTCCAGTATGTCACTGTCCCTAATGTTACCTCATCCCCAGCTGTTCCCCAGCCTTTTGCTGTGTCTAGCACCTTCCATGGTCCCTGAAGTCTTCCTATGTCACCCACTGCCTCCACTGTTCCCTCACTGACCTCATCCCCAAAGTCTCCTCAGTATCCTCTGGTGTCCTCTCACTGCCCCCCAACTGTGACTTCCAACTCCTGATATCTCTTACCCTCGCTGCTCCAAGATCTCCGGTGTCCTCAATGTCCCTTTAATGCCTTGAACCCTCACCTCTCCGAAAGACTTCTCTCCAGCCCCCTAAAATTTAGGATCTCCTCCTCTCCCTGACTTCCTCACTGCCTCTTGCCATTCCCTGAACCCTGCCCCCTGACTTGCTTTTCTTGGCATCCATGGGGTCACCAACCCAGCTGGGTTTTGCTAGTGCCATTCATTTTTTTTCTAGGGCAACCCCGGGGTCTTAACCTGTGTAGACATAGAAGGCCATAGCCATGGCTTTGTGACTGGCGACTTTGTGACGTTCTCAGGTGTGGAGGGCATGACCGAGTTGAATGCCTGTGAGCCTCGTGCTGTCCGTGTGCTGGGTGAGCCCCATCCCCAGAACCCCATTGGTTCAAGTGGAATCCCAGGTGGAGGCAGCAAATTCTAGGGTGAACCTGCTCTGATGACTGTGGGGGCTGGGATGTACTTATCCATTGAAAACCACCATATCTTTAGCCCTAACCCCCTATAGGGGGCATAGAGAGTGCATGCAGCTTCCCACTGACTCTCTATTCTGAACATAACCCTGTCTGTTAACACCACTGGCTTCTGGCCTTGGTCAAGCCTGCCCAAACTGTACCTGAGCCCATGGTAGAATCCTCAGCCCTGGCAATGTGATTGTGGGCTGCATGGGCCTTTGCCCCAGTGGATGCTACTGCAGGTTTTGTTCTGGCCTGTGCGATAATGTGGGGCAGAGCTGTGTTTGGGGAAGGTGTCCTTTGAGTGCTGGCTCAACCCAAAGCTTGGGTGTGGCTCTGTCTGGAGCTAGGTCTGGCCCTCTCCTTGTGTTCTCTTTCCTACTGGCCCCACATGGGGATAGCTAGCTTTGTTTTCACACAAAAGCACCCCTTATGCAGGTACTATTTTTCCTAGGGGAGTACATGCTGGAGATCGGTGACACGAGCTCTCTCTCTCCATACCAGCGTGGAGGCCTTGTCACTCAGGTGAAGGTGCCCCAGGAGCACTCCTATGTAAGTGTCAGACAGAAAGGGGGCCTGAAAATGTTTTTTGTTTTTTTTTTTCCTGTTGTCCAATTTATTATTATCATTATGGCGAGGGGTGGGGTGCGGTACTAAAAGTTTGTCTGGGGATGCTAGGAATCTGGGTATGGTACTGCCTGGCAGTACCCAGTTCATATCATCATAGAGCTAGAAGTTGAAAGTTATTGACCTTTTAGCCAAAATGGTTTCTTGCTGTGCTTCCTATGCTTCCATCACATTGGGGTAGCCTGCTCTTGTGCCCTTTAGTATGGCTTTTTAAAAGTACAGCCAGTTCTCCTTTTCCTCAGACTTTCCTCTCATAGGATTCTGTGCACCAGTTCCCCAAGTTTGTTCAAGTTTGCTTTTTGAAAGTCCTTCTGCTCTATTCTGCTGCACTTCCCTTCATTTTGTTGCAGTGTTGAACTCCCATCATTTCATGGTCATGCCTTTTAGGCATTTTGTGCATTTTACCTTTAGATTTTCAACCAATTCCATCCTATTAACCATCATCAAACCAAGAAGAGCTTCTCTCTTAGGGGAAAGTTTCTCTACCATCTATATCAAAAGGTTTCGCACACATTCCAAAATCTTGCTGGACTGCCTACTAGCTGCTGAGTTTCCTTCCAACCGATGTCCTGGTACTTAAAGTTCCCTGTAAGCACCAGGTCCTGCAATTTGGATACTTCCAAATTCAGTTAGTTGTTTACAAAAAATCTTGTTCATCTCTTCCCCTTTATAGCAGGCACCCACTGGGACAGCCCCTTTGTTTCCCCCTTTTACCTCAATCTTCGTACAATACTGAGAGTGCCCAGGTGCTGCTCTGGCCCTGTACTCAGATCCTTAGTGCAGAACCCACCTGTAGAGCACTCTGACTTCTCTACCCACAGGAGCCTCTGAGAGCAGCCCTGGCCAACCTGAAGATCAAAGATACAGACCCTGAGAAGCAGCAGCGCTACCAGAGCCTGCACCTGGCCTTCCAGGCACTGCATGTCTTCTGCAAGGAGCAGAGCCGACTTCCCCAGCCAAGAGTGCAGGTGAGGCCTTGCCACACTGGGCCCTATCTACCTCTTGCAGGGCTGCTGCCCCATTGGGTTCTGGGTCATTTGTGCCCTGGCATATCCTAGCCACATTGTCAGCACAGTGGGGTTTGTTCCTCATCCCAGTGGGCATTCTAGCTCTGCCTAGTGTGCTTTACCCAGGATGCATGCACCATCTGCCGTTGTATGTGCCTAGCCATCAACTGGCCTGTGCCTATGCCTGCCCCTGCCCAGCAGGGTCTATGCCTTGTCTGTGCCCTCCTAGTGGAGGTCCATGCTCCATCTGCATTTGATGCACGTCTGTTCTCTAGGTGGATGCTGAGCGGTTGCTGAAGCTGGCTCAGGACCTGAATGTGCAGCAGGAGCCACTGGAAGAGGATCTGGTGCGGGCATTTGCCAGTGTGAGTGCTGGAGAGCTGAGCCCCATTGCTGCCCTTTTTGGGGGCCTGGCTGCCCAGGAAGTGCTGAAGGTGAGCAAGCAGGGTTGTAGTCAGGGTCTAGACATTACTTCCTGTAGACCTCCCCTTCTGTCCTAAGAAGGCATCTGTCCTGAGGTTAGCTGATAGCATGGCAGAGGAGCTGGGCTACACATGGGTGCTGAGTGTAAAGCTCTGCCAGCAAGATGTAGAATGGGTGCGGACAAGTGAGCAGAATGAGTGGTGCCTATTAGGGCTGTGCAAAGTTTTGGTTGCCAATTCGATTTGGAGGAGATTCGGCCCAATCTGGTGGCTGAATCTGAATCGGATCAGGAGACCCCCACTCTCTCTAAGACAAAACACACAGTGTTTATCATGGGAGACTCCATCCTGAAGGGGACTGAGGGGGCAATCTGCCGCTCCGACCCCTTAGCCCGGGAAGTCTGCTGCTTCCCAGGAGCCTGAATCCGAGACGTTGTGGAGAAGATTCCTGAACTCCTCTGACCTGCTGACCACTGCCCTATGCTCCTTATCCATGTGGGCACAAATGACATGGCTTGGAGTGCTCCCAGCTGGGTCATGAAGCGCTACAGGGATTTGGGAGCAAGTCTTTAAGGGGTTGGGGGGCACAGGTTTCATCGATCCTCCCAGTTTCGGGCTACAGTCTGAGGAGGGAGAGGAGGATTGAGATAGTGAACCAACGACTGCAGCGCTGGTGTCATCAGGAAGGCTTTGGCTTCCGTGACAACAGTCTGCTCTTTGGTGAGAGAGGCAGTGAGCTGCTGGGAAGGGACGGCCTCCTCCTCTCTCCGCTGGCAAAGAGGCTGTTCTCAGCCAGACTGGCTGACCTGCTCCATCAGGCTTTAAACTAAGCCTGCTGAAGGATGGGGGGACTACTGCCACTGCTGGCCCACTGAGCAACCCTTGCACAGCCAGCAGGCCAAGGAACTTAACGGAGCCCACCCCCTGCCCCAGCCCTGGAGCAAGCTGTAGGCAAGGCAAGAGCCCCCAAAGAGACACTTACGTGCCTGTAGACAAATGCCAGGAGCTTGGGAAATAAACAGGAGGAGCTTGTCCTCCTGCTTAACACAAATAATTACGGTGTCATAGCGATAACAGAGACTTGGTGGGACTCCACCCATGACTGGGGCACAGGTATAGATGGCTATACCCCTGTACAAGAGAGATCAAGTGGACAAAAGGGACGTGGGTGTAGCTCTGTATGTCAAGGAAAGCTACGCGTCCCTGCAAGGTGACATTGGTGCCCAGGTTGGATGACTGGAGACCCTCTGGGTTAAAATTCTTGGGGAACACAGCACAGGGGACACAATGGTGGGAGTCTACTACAGACCTCCCACCCAGGATCAAGACCTTGACCAGGAGTTCACCAGGGAATTGACTGAGGCTGCATGCTCCCGGTGCATGGTTGTCATGGGAGACTTCAACTACCCAGACATCTCATAGGAAGAGCACTTGGCCAAATCCGAGTGATGGCAAAGCTTTCTCTCATGCATGGATGAGCTCCATCTCACACAGGAAGTCCTATGGGCCGACAAGAGGTAAAGCGCTGCTTGACCTGGGACTGGCAACTGGGGATGATCTAATCAGTGACCTAATGATTGAAGGGAAGCTGGGTGACAG